GCAATTACGTTTTTCGACTCATTTCGTAAGAGGAAACAGCTTTTAGCAGCGCCTGATAAGGTTACTCTAGATTCGAAGATGGTGCAGAGGTGTCGAGTGTACCTTGGTAGTCCTCTGGCTTGTTCTTATTGGCTCCGAAGACCTTGATGGTGGGGAAACCTTTGACGCCAAACTGGCTCCCCAGTGACTTGTGCTGGTCTGCATCCACGGCCCCAACCTTCACGATACCCTGAAGGATTTCAGAACAGACACGTTGGAGAGTGCAGTCTCAACTTTTAATTACAGCAAGCTTGTTATTCATTTCCTCACAGAACATTGGTGTGCTGATTCACAAACTCTGGAAGTGACGCATCGATAAACAGTAACAAGTGCCACAATCACTTATGTATGCAGGATCTGTCCACGCATACAATATTGTTTGGATAGATAAAATCCGAGGTGATAACTATGTGCGGAAAAGCACATTCCATGAAATAAAGAATGAATAATATTAACTTTCAAATAAGAACAAAGACTCACTAATATTTGACTACAGTCCCATATCTGCCCACGCCTGTTTGCTGTTATTCTCACTGCTGAGCTACAAACTTCTAAAACACTCGTAGGGGGAACAGAGCTGTGAACCTCGCAATCGGGATGCATCTTCAATGTTGTCTTTGCCGTGAGTGAAATAAACAATACCTCTAGCTTATCTGATCCCATTATATCTTCCTTATTCAATTAGTTTTTCATGTCTGCAATTATCTATGGAAAGTACATCGTCTAACCCAGGGGTTCCCAACCTTTTCTCCCAAGAGCCCCCCCAAATGACTCCTGTTGGAAGTTGAGCCACCCTCCCCCCCGCAACAGCGGTAATTAAAGTTGAAAAGTCTCAAAAATGCTACAACTACTGTCACCAACTGGATGAATGTGAAGTATTTTGTTAAAGGACAATGAAAGCGTAATTAAGGAGCACTATTGGGGTGACTTTGATGGTTATTGGACTCAGGATTAATTAATTTGGATTCCCGCTGTATGAAGAAATTAAAAGGACGGCGCAAGTGGAAAAAATTCACAAAGGGACTAAACGGTTTAAAATACATGCTCAAAGTAAACCGGATTTTGCCGATGTGTTTATGTGGATTCAAAAGTCGTAAATAATCTACAAAATGGAGGAGACCGATCTGATCGGAGCAACTGTGACAAATAATCTGAAACCGGCGTGGACAATGACTATGTTTTAAAAATGCGCTTATCCAGACAAGCCTGGTTTGGATACTTTACGGGCAGAAGAAACATTTCTATTAAATAAAAAATTATACATTTCTGTCTTTTTATGCTTTTATTAGCTACAGTACTAACTTGAATTTTTATTAAAATTAATTAATCAATTTTTTTAAATATTGTAATGTAGAGACAAGGCTTTTAGCGACAATTATGTATTGCGTTACAATTACATGTAAGAATTTTTTTAAAAAAAAAGTCTAAATATGATATTTGGCCTCAAATCATCTGAGGCCTGGCTCACCCCCTGCGATCTTACCAAGGGGGGCGCGCTGACCAGGTTGGGAACCACTGGTCTAACCCGTATGAGTCATATAGCTAATTGCGGTAAACAAAACGTACTGATATTTTATTTGACTGGTAAATGTCAGATGGCCTGAGGCGTTTTGTTCACCTTGAGGGTAGTGGCAGCCTTCTTCCAGTCAGCAGTCAGACTCTGACAGTGACCACACCTGTGGTGATGAACAAGAGAAGAAAGGGGGTTGAATAACATTGATGGTTAGTGATTAATTACAATAGAAATACCAAAATAAATGACTGAATATCAACACACCCTGTATTTATAGAACACATTTCACTTTCTGTTAACATGCTTAGGAATGTAAATCTCCTGGATACTTGGATACTTGTTCACTTCACAATTGACTTCGCTCTTGGTATATAAAGTATTTTATGGTCCCTTTTATTGCCACTGAATAAATATGCAACATAATTGTTCATGTTATTGACCTGGCAGATTCTTCCCATGACAGCCATGTTATCCAAATTAAATCAAAAAGGGACACTTTTCAGAAGAAAGTCATTTTCTTCAGTGTGTGTAAGCATGTTGTCTACTTCTACCTATTGTATAACCCATTGAATATTGTTTATATGCTGTGCCATTATATCCTGCACTTTGAATTACCTGAAAAGAAACTTAGATGTAAATGCAATCTGACCAAATGAGGAACTACCAGTCTCCACAGATCATATGGTTAATGTTTCTATGAGGAGGAGCAACTACAATAAGTGAAAACTATGGCCCCTGTGCCACTACCAGGTTGATCTGAGGACACTTGTTGCTACTGAATATTGGCCACCAAAGTTACATGGACTCACCAGGGAGCGTAAAACTCAATCAGCCACAGACTGTCACTCTGGAGCACCTCCTTGTTGAAGTTGGAGGGGTTGAGCTCAACAACATCATCACTGGCTGAGTAAAAGGCTTGGGCAGAGAGGACTAGGGAGCAGCCCAGCACTCCTGAGGACAAGGGAGACAACACGGTTTACTTAACAATGCATGCTCAAACGTGTCCAAGGAATGGTCTTGGCACTGAAATGACATTGTAAGGCTATTATACACATCTTATATGCAGAATGATGTAACAGCAAGTGAAATTGGCATATATTTATCAATTGATTCAACGATAACGCAGGCCTGGCACTGTTCTGTGCACTTAGCTATTCGAGCTAACCACAGAAGCCTAAACACCCCAGCACACCTCACGTTAAAACATTAACAAAACTACTTTAATTACAGGAAATAAGTTACATGAATTATTTCACTCACCAAGTATAAACGATTTCATGGTTAATAGCTGCTCTCTGCAAGGCTTCTGTGTTAGAAACTGCTGCCGCTGCTTCCCTCAGAAAAAGTACATCGGAAAAGCTCACCGTGGCCCACGCTGATTGGTCCACAGGCGGCGACGCTGCGCCTCAGCCAATCAGCGAACGCCGTGTAGTTTAAGGGGAACCGGTACGCTGAAGACAAGTGGAGGATAAAGAAGGGAGCATGTAAATTGCATCCGTGAAGATGCAAACAAAACAAGGATGTACCTCTTATTGTGTTACGCAAGAGTACATCATGTTTATACAGAATAGAAAGTAAAGTGATGTGTATTTTAAAGTAAATTCAACATTAAAAAAGGCTATTAAAAGCTACTGTTGTGTTTTCATTATTATGATTGGCAGTAATGGAACCACAAATACAAATACAGACATAAAGTATTGCCAGTATGATCAAATATATTGGTTGAGTATCAGATGTAAAAGTACTCACAAACAGCCCTTGTCAGTGTGGACTGGAATTTGTATTACTGATGCAACATTGTGTAGCCATTATTTAATTTTGTAGAGAGAAGCTAATTTATGCCTTTAAATACTTTTGGATATGTTTTTGGATGTGTGTTTTTAAGCAATGCATAACATTTTACAAACTCATGTTCTGCAAAGTTACTTCAGCAGTTGTATAATTGCAGTATACGTGTAGAGTAGTATACAAGTATACAATGGAAACCCTCACGTAAGTACAAGTACCTCAAATGTGAACTCTACAGCATTACAATATTTAATGACTACTTCTCTCCTCAAATTTGATAGATTCACGGTAATACACAGTTGATTTACTAATCTTAATCCAAAAATGAAAGCTTAACTTGATGTTTTTGTACTCTTGTCAGAAGGTTAAAACACTATAGAGACACTGACTTGACTCCACTGCATTGCAGGTTTTACTTTGGTCGTTTTTGGCTTTAAGAAGTGACAGTATTTTATAACACATACACATCCTACTTTTTTTTAGCTTTTGTTTTAATCACTTGTTAAAGGATTCCTATCATCAGTAGTTTGCACCATACTTTGAAAGCAGAACAACAGAAGTATTAAGGATACTGTATTGTGGAGGTTCTGCCACTAGGTGGAGACAGACAACCCAGCAAAGTATGTCATGGTCTGTCTGACTGAACATTCATAATTCATTGAATGCACACGCAGAACTGGTCAGATAACTCAGAGTTCAAGTTGTTACAAATCAATGTATGCAGTTATAATGGAGAGTAGCCTCATAAAATCTAATGAATTATTGCAAGATAATGCTAAAAAAACCAATAATACAAAAAATAATAGCCATAATAATAATAACCCAACAACCATAATAATATGTATTCTTATTATTGTTATTGATGCACTATATTTACAGAGCCCATATTCTCACTAAGCCTCTGTGTATTTTGAATTGTATGATTTATTTGGTGATAGCCTACAATACATTCAAAATCGATGATAGATAATGCGGGTATGAACAAAAACAAACAAGTTTTAGTATTTCGTTGTGAAAAAAAGACGCTTTATGTTTCTGGTTGTGTTTCCTATCAATCGATAAACTTATAGTTGTAAGTCGAGCTGGCTGGCATGGATGCCCAGCGGAGTGCGTGTCTGTGATTTTCCTGTTTGCTACTTCACAATTCATTACTGTACATGCATGCAGCATACATTTATAATGTGCTGCGCCTGGCTTCACTGCGCTGCATCAATACAACCACACAGAGACATATCAACCGGAACAGATGGATAGACTTAAAAATAAAAGCATGGTCTGTTTTGTTGCAATCAAAGCCTGTTGATAACAGTAAAGGCCAGATAACTCAATGTTGTTATGGCTGTGCTGAAGGTCTGTTATTTGAAGTTAGGTAAGTGATGTGAGTGAGCTTGTACACATGCAGCAAACTAGATGAAATCAAAAATAAAGGTTTGATAATGGGAAGCGTTTTTTGAGACATCTGTTAAGTATTAAGATAGGTGAACTGATAGATGGAACAATTCAAATTACATTAAGGAATGTTTGGAGGTGTAGCAAAAAAGAACTTAGGCAGATAGGCTTTTTATTGGAAAGTTTTTCACCGGAAGTCTAGTGGTTTGATTATGTCTGACTTCACATTACGCGCACTTCAATGCCAACTTTTCAGAGCGCACAGGCGTACTGTTCTCTGTCAGACGCGGCTGTGTGGCGCTAAGAACACTTCACGCTGCAGTCACCTCTGAGCAAACATATCATTTACTCGCAGATTGGAGGGTTTTGGATGTTTTTCGCACAGCACCAGGGTTTCTGGTGACTTGTGTTTCACTTTGACAGTGCATCGCGATCACCTGGGCTGTTATTTGGTGGACTTGTTGTCAACAAAATGTGGGGTATCCAGAGGACGCGGTATGCAGACTGCAACGGATCTGAAGCCAGTGAAGAGAATGAGATTGTTGTCAACATCGGCGGTGTGAAACAGGTGTTGTTTGGGGACGTGTTGAATCGCTACCCGGACACGCGGCTGGCAGAACTGGTGGACTGTTCACTTAAGTCCCCTGAAGAAATATCCTCACTATGTGACGACTACGACCCGGACACAAGGGAATTTTATTTTGACAGAGACCCCAAAGCTTTTAAGTGTATAATTGAACTGTATTATTATGGAGAGATTCACATAAAACGAGGCATTTGTCCAATTTGTTTTATGAAGGAGATGGAGTTCTGGAAGATCGACCCTGATTTTCTGGACGACTGTTGTAAATGCCACCTGAATGAGGTAGAGGATGAACTTGCAGAGATCGCAGAGAAAGTGAGGACTATCCTGGTGGACAGAGAGGGAGATCCGTCTGCAGCTGGCTGGCAGCGCTTCCAGATGTGCCTCTGGAGGCTGATGGAGAAGCCGGAGTCCTCGCTGCCTGCACACATAATCACCATAGTTTCTTTCATCTTCGTCCTCGTCTCCTCCGTGGTGATGTGTGTTGGGACCATCCCCGACCTGCAGGTGGAGGACTCGGAGGGTAACCTCACGGAGAACCCAACTCTGGAGGTCATCGAGACGTTGTGCATCGGCTGGTTCACTATCGAGTACATCTTGCGCCTGATCTCCGCACCAAACAAAATGAAATTTGTCCTGGCTTTCATGAACATCATAGACTTCATGGCAATCATGCCTTTCTTCGTGGTTCTCATTCTGACCTCTTTCGGCACAGGAGTGATGGAGCTGACCAACGTGCAGCAGGCGGTGCAGGCTTTACGCATAATGCGCATTGCGCGCATTTTCAAGCTGGCACGACATTCCTCCGGACTCCAGACCCTCACATCTGCTCTGAAGAGCAGCTTCAAAGAGCTCGGGCTTCTCCTCATGTACATGGGCGTGGGGGTCTTCCTTTTCTCCGCACTGGGCTACACAATGGAGCAGAGCCACCCGGAGACCTTGTTCACCAGCATCCCACAGTCCTTCTGGTGGGCTGTGATCACTATGACCACGGTGGGATATGGAGACGTCTACCCCAAGACTACTTTAGGTCGGTGCAATGCTGCCCTCAGCTTTCTGTGCGGGGTGATAGCCATAGCGCTGCCTATACACCCCATCATCAACAATTTCGTTTTGTTCTACAACAAACAACAGGTGCTGGAGACCGCTGCCAAGCATGAGATTGAACTGATGGCTCTGCGCTCGGGCGAGGGTGAGCTGGAGGCGGCTCCCGCTGCCCATAAACATGTCTGCGGAGCCGGAGTGTGGGACCACGCCATGCGCTCCTGTCACAGCGACACATACATCCCCTTACTGAAGGATCCCAGAGGAGGGGCGGGGTTCCAGACCCCCAGCATGGACACAAGCTTTGAAAGCACAGCCGCGGCCTCTGAGTATTTCATCTCATAAACACTAAAGACTCCAAGAAAACACTCAGCAAAACAACAACAAAACATCGAATGAATCATTAATATTTGACCTATTCAAACTTAACCCGCACATTTCAGGGTTAATGGTACCACGATGACTGGATTGTAAATAGCCTCGTTAAATTATAGGGCTGCAGTGTGCTCTCTAAAGCAGTGGTTCTCAACTGGTGGGTCGCGGACCCGTTTCGATTGGGTCGCGGATATGTGAGTGAAGTTTTTTTTGTTGAAAAAAGACAATTGAAACTTCTTTTTTTTATTTTTTGGGGAAAAAGTCAAACTTTTATTTTGAAGGCCCGATTTTCTAACGCTGTACATACTGGAAATACCGGAGACCATAAACAGTTTAGAAAACTTCTGTTGTAGTGATCATCTTCTCAATAAAACATCTTTGCTGATGTCGACCCTTTACCCACAATTTAAAGTAATTCACACAGACTTCTCCTCTTTGCTCCTCTCTCTGTGAGGAGCAGCAAGCTGTCAGAACTAAGTGAAAAACAAACAATGGCATAACATATTATTAATATGTCGGGTAGTAATAGATGTATTTATTTTCTTCTCAGAGTGTACCAGAATGCGTAGTTTATATGTAATTATTTCTAAAAATCTCCTGGGGTACAATCCCCCCAGACCCCCCTTCTGGGGTTTGGTTTTCAGCATGTGTGCCTTTTTATGTTACACAGACAAAGTAAAAAGTGGGTCCCGAGGCCTGACCAGTTGAGAACCACTGCTCTAAAGGATCGTTAATGCATTTGAGCAATTGCGCCTATTAAAGGGACATATTTGTGAGATATTGACTTTATGAGCTGTGCCTTTGTGCAGTGAGGGTTGAGGAATTTTGTTTGAACTGCCAGTAGACACCAATTCCCCCATGTAGGCTCCTTATATTACAACCCCATTCCCAATCCTCACACTCATACTGTATAATGCATTGTAGCCTATTCCTTTGTACAGATATATACTATATTGTGTATCAAAATGGATGTTTTTTTATAATAAAGATTCTTAGCTCCATCAGGAGAAAAGAGAAATACTCTTGGTATGTTTATAAGGAGGGTGTACTGGCGTGACAACAAAACTGAAGAAAAACCTGTTGGTATAGAGACTTATAGAGCCATAAAGATACATTAATGGTAAACAAGATACGGGTAAAGAATAATAAAGTATCATCGACAGTTTGTTTCTGTTTCAGCGGGTGATACATGTAATTTATGTAACCGACACTGCATTAGTATGAGGTTATATCAGATATAAAACCCATCTGCTGTGCAGGCATGATAAAAGCAGTGTCTGTGTCAGAAGCTCTCATGACTCCAGGATATGAACATTACATTTTTTAGCAGCCGTCACAACTCTAATCATCCCCGGAGGTCTCGTGGAATAACTGGATCCCCAAGATATGGGCGAGGGGAAGAAGCAACAGGCTAGAGGTTAGAGAAAAAAATATCCCAATGGTTAAATTATTAAACTTTTTTTCAGAGTGCAGGCTAGCTAACCTGGAAAAGATGAGAATATAAATAAAAAATATCATTCATGAATCATGAAAATAAACATTATCAGCAGCTTATCATCTCAAATAGAAGGTGTGAGAGTATCAATAGGCAGTGTCAGTGTGTAACATGTGTCTTAAAGGTCACCTATCATGCTATTTTTAGGCAATAGCATAGGTCTCAGATATATAAAAAATATATAAAAAAAACATGTTTCGCTCAAAATACCAAACAGATCACCCATTCTAGCCATATCCCTCTATTTCACTTCCTGTTTCAAAAGTGCTGATTTTATGTATAAAGCTTTAAATAAAAAAAAAGGAGGGGGCTGAGCTCATGTGGGAGATTCTACCAGCAGATACTGCGGTGATGAAACGCCATATCATGGATTATCAAGGATTATTTCTGAAACATTATGGAGCTCAAAGGATTTCTCTCTTGCCGGTTATACCACAAGGTGAGTTCCTTTTTATATCCTGCTTCTTCACACACATGCTCTCCAGTACAGGTTAGCTCTGAGTGTTAGCGATGCTAATGTAAACATGCACCGACCACATTACGTCCAAAACAGTCGGGCATTGTTTCTGATAGCAACGTTTCTGATAGGGCCGTGGGTGTAAAGCCAGCCTACATTTCCGATATTACGTCATATCGGACGCAAATCTGGATCAGCTCCGTTGTAGCCCCGTTTTTAGAGATGTGGGTACGGAGGAAAAGAGAGAGGGTTTTATTTTCTGACGCTGCGTGAGTTCCCTGACACACCGGGGACACATATTTATGTATAAAAGACATCAAAAAGTGCATTTTGCATGATAGGTCCCCTTTAATGCATTACTGCTCTTAGTTGGATGAAACTTGAAAGGATGATTTGCATTCACACTGTGCCCCATGTTTAAAAATGATCTCTAAATTGGCTTGATGGGCACTATACTTAAAGGTTAGAGTTTCACAGTTTGAAAGGTCTCAACTCCTACACCATTACTCTAAGTGACATGAAACGTTCTGCACCAAAAGAACAATCTTTAGAAATTACATTAGTTGGCACGGTAGGGGAGATATAATTAAAGTTTGACACATTTAATTCAGATGTCATGTGTCAAATGTCAGTGGTTAGATTCTGTAAATGTATGATTTCTATCAAGACTGTGTTCCTGTTCCCAGTCTCTTTGTGTGACATTTTATGAAATGTCTTGAATGTAAAAACATGCTTTGTGCATCCAGTTTTCCCACCAAATATGGGACCTATAAAAAGATGGAAATATGAGGATATTATCAGCAGGTAGCCGTGATGGTTTGGGCGGTGGATGTATGGAGATATGTGGGATCATCTTTCAGCTTGCATGTACGTCACATAAACATATTTACACAGCCTGCCTAACAATGGACTCCTTCCCCTCATTTAAGCCAAACTGTATCCCAGTGTTTCCTAATCTTTATCTGATATTCCTCTACAGTCCACATTAACTCAACTAAAGCAACACCAGTCATTATGTTTGATTAATTTTATAGAAGTGGATATTGTTCAAATATTATTTTATTTGTTGACAATTTGTTGAAGTATGCATTCTTAGGCCTACTTTTACCTTTTGGAGTAAAGTCGACATTTTAAATATATATCCTTTACTTTCAGCTAACCATTTGTTTTACTTTTCTTTGACTTTAAGTGTATTATTTTAACAATTTGTCCATTACTTTTAATACATATTTTAACCATATATATATTTTAAAAGAACGTTTTTAGAAAATGGGAAGTATTTATCTTGTAATTACTTTTTATCGTAACGAGGGAATGTCTTTATGTTGTTTTGTGAAAGATTAAACAATAGCTTTTTTGCCTAAATTGGTACCTGAAAGTAACATTTAAAGTGTGATTACTACAACAACCCACACATTTTAATCGAATGAAGAGGAGTGATACATCTTACTGCTGCCTCACTGACAGAGTGCCTGCTCCTTGCATCAATCACTGGGACAGGACGTCAGATTGTTTGGAGGACACTCATTCAGTATTAGCTCTTTGCTGATGTTTTTGAATGAGCAACAATTTAAGTAGTGCCGCTTGAAAGACAGATCATGATGGAGGTCCGGCAGATCTCCACAGCCTGTCCACCCACTCATGTCCTTAACAGCACTCTGCTATCTCTGCAGGCCAGCAGCAGATTCACACATGTCAAAGCCCGGGAGAAAGGCCTTTGTGACCGCTGACAGGCGGAGCTGGAATGTCAAAGGCGTGTATTGTGTAACAGAACAATGTTCCTCCAGCAGATGCATGTAAAAACACATACGACTTCAGGTTCAAATTTAGATATACAAACACACAGCAGTGTACAAACATCCCCTCTCCTCTCCACCGCCTACCTTCAAGTGCACACAAATAATTGCATACACACACACTTCCTTACCCATATACCCACAGCCATGTGTGATGCAGTGAACTGCCGCAATACGCTGCCTAATCACCAATTTGTACACCCACATGTTGGTCATCTGCAGCATTCAGTGGGTGTGTAAGATGAGAGGTATTCCTGGGCCTTTACTCAAAACTGCGCTCATTATCCCTTCACAAGAATAGTCAGAGTCATTGTGAGAATGTTGGTTGTTATAGGCAATTTATTTTGAGACATAGGCTTTACTTTTAGTTTTTTAGACCATTTTGAAGAAATGGTGGACAACATTTGTACTTGTCTCTTGTGCCTTTGAATTAAAATATGTCCGATGCCTGTCTATAGGCAACACAGAAAAGTCTAAAAAGATGCCTTTCTGTGTGCGTGTGTGCGAGGAAAGTTCTGGCAATTATATTACTTCCCTATTTTATGTGTACTGGTATTTACATCTTGCTTTTATCTAGGAAGAATAATTAACAAGGCAAAGTCTATAGCATGCTATGTTTGTTTCCATATCACACTTTAAAATGTCATTATATCTAGTGTTAAATTATGTATCCGGCTCGGAGGATGCTGTGAATAAACAGGATATGACATTCTGCCTCAACCCTCAAACACTTTATACACCAACAAGCATTATCACATTAGACATACTTAGGTGCCATCTAAAGTGTTTAAGGCGATCAAAATGTTTCCTGAAACTCACGTGTCCATTCCAGCTGACTGGTGCCGATTGTTTTCTGGTGACATACTGTATTGAGTTATTGTTAACCCAACCATTTTAATGACAGCACGGACACACAGAGACCTTTCTTGCCTCTCCCTGCTCCCCTCTCTGTTGACCTTTAGGGCGGGGATCTTCTTCTCCACACATCTAAAAATAGGGGAATCCCTGTAGGAAACAAATGGTACATACAAATGGAGGTTCATTACAAACTTGAGTTAAATTGGTTTTGCAAGCACGTTCCTAAAGAGTCCTTTGGTGTTAGGATCTTTATTGCTTTTTAATGATTGTTTTACAACTGTTAAAAAGTAACTAGAGAAGAACATTGTCCTTTCACATTTCTAATTTCAATTTCCACTATATCTGAGAGTTTCAGTCATAAAATTAAGTATTATGATTGCGTTCTAGACTGACAAATCTAATAAAGTGAAATGTTCAAAGACTAAGATTTCCAATATGAGGAAAGAAAATAAGACCAACAAATAGAAAAGAAGAATATTAGGCATTCAAAACACATCCGGAAGAGATTGCTCTCAAGGCCACACTAAAAGCAGATTATTTCTCCCCTCAAATGGTAGAAATGGGATATCTTTTATGGATTTATATCCTGCAGTAGATGGTCGAACACATTCATTTGAATAAGAATATGTTTGCATAATGATA